AACTTCATTTATGGTTGGTGGTGTTGGAGACTAAACCACTTTACATTCCAAGTTCATGAATAAGCTTGGAGCTTTCAAACTTCCAAGTTCATGAAGTTGCTATTTTTCAGTGTTGATATTTATTTTCGTATTTAAGTTTCTTGATAATTGTAACATGGCTAGTCTATAAGTTTGGTGTACGGAAGGAGAAATGGCATATTGGAATATTATAATCGTCTGATAATAAAGTTTGAGATTCGAAACTCTCAATCTCTTTCATATTTCAACTTGTGTAATTGAGATTTGCATTTCTTGAAGTTTCTTCTTAATACCACCCTCATCATTTGGTATCACGAGCCAATCTCGTTTGGGCCTGTGTCTTCTTTCTCAATGGCAGCAAGAAGAGGAAGAGGTGGGCGTGGAAGAAATAACCCAATCATGGAAAACTTGGGTGATGAACGAAATGCTGAAATTCAAACTCTCCGGAGACAAGTTGAGGAGTTAACGTTGCGTCTCGAGCGTCAGGAAGCCAGAAGTGGACGAGGTTCCAGTCATGGTTATTCCAGTGATGACTCAGAGCTAACGAATCCTTTTGCTGAGAGCCAACATCAAAATTTTGGTAGAAGAATGTCATATCCTTCGGACACTCTAAAGGTTGATCTACCAGAATTCCAGGGACGCCTTCAACCGGAGGAGTTTTTGGATTGGCTTAGTGCTGTAGAGAAATTCTTTGAGTACAAAGAAATTCCCGAGAATCAAAAAGTGAAATTGGTGGTGACCAGGCTCCGCGGTTATGCATCCTCTTGGTGGGATAAGGTACAAGATATGAGATTAAGAAAAGGAAAGCCGAAGATTGCTTCATGGGAAAAAATGAAAGCACGATTACGAGAAAATTTTCTACCTCTGAATTTTGCTCAAAATATATTTATGCAATTTAATACTTTACAACAGGGCAATAGAAGTGTGGTTGACTATACAGAAGAATTTTACAAATTAATGGCTCGTTGTGACAATCAAGAGTCTGAAGATCATCTTATTGCAAGATATGTTAATGGCTTGAGACTACCCATTAGAGATGAAGTGGAGTTGCAGCAGGTGTGGAAGTTAAACGACGCCTATCAATTGGCCTTGAAAGTTGAATCAAAGTTATCAAGACGGGGTGCGAGGAAGTTTGTGGATATTCAAAGCCTCTATCCATCCAAAACCGAACTTTCCAATCAAAATCTCCCTAAAAGAGGCAAAAGTGAGAATAATTCAGCAGCAAACAAAGCTAAACCTGCCAATTGTTTCAAATGCGGCCAACCTGGGCATTACATGAATGAGTGCCCGAAGCGGAGGAGTGATGCTCGTATGGGGCTTGTGGGTGAAGAAGAAACGGAAAAACAAATAGAAGAACGAGAGCCAAAATATGATGAAGATGCCAATTACGAGCGCGAAGAGATTGAGCCAGAGGAGGGAGAATGCTTGGTAATTCAACGAGTTCTTGATGCCCTCAAGCAAGAGAGCGATGAAAATTGGCTACGGCACAACATCTTTAGGACATGGTGTAAATCTCATGGAAAGGTATGTTCTCTCGTCATTGATGGAGGTAGTTTCGAGAATTTTGTTTCCCAGGAGATGGTGGACAAGCTCAGACTCAAGGTTGTACCCCACCCAAGACCGTATGATGTCTCATGGATAAACAAGGACAATGAGGTAAAAATTGAGAAGAAATGTCTCGTTTCTTTTTCTATGGGAAAAAATTATTATGACGAAGTATGGTGTGATGTAACTCCAATGGATGTTGGACACCTATTATTGGGTAGACCTTGGCAATATGATAGAGGCGCAATCCATGACGGAAGAAGAAATACTTATAAGTTTATGGTGGGAAAAACTGAAATTCTTCTTTTACCATGTAAAGATGTTTGTGAACCCAAACCTGTAAAAAAAGAAGAGGGTCGTGCCTTACTTTGTCGCAGTTTGAGAAGGAAGTTAAAAGAGATAGGTTAATCTATCTTCTGATCGTCGATGAAACTACACAATCCACAAAAATTCCAGTCGATGTTAAAATTCTATTGAAGGAGTTCAATGATGTTGCTCCAAAAGAATTGTCGAGTGACCTTCCACCTCTAAGAGAGATTCAACATCAAATTGATTTGATTCCAGGAGCTTCACTTCCCAACAAAGCCCACTATCGGATGAGTCCAAAAGAACACGAAGAGCTTCATCGGCAGGTAGTAGAATTGTTGAACAAAGGTTACATCAGGGAGAGCTTAAGTCCTTGTGCTGTCCCGGCACTACTTACTCCAAAGAAGGATGGTTCTTGGCGCATGTGTACTGATAGTCGGGCGCTTAATCGAATCACTATCCGATATCGATTTCCCATACCGAGAATTGATGATATGTTTGATATGTTGGCTGGTGCACAAATATTCTCGAAAATTGATCTCAGAAGCGGATATCATCAAATTCGAATCAAGCCGGGAGAAGTCTTTGAAAGAAAATTGGTACTAGTTTGTTGTACAGTAGTGCGTATCATCCTCAAACCGATGGGCAGACCGAAGTGGTCAACCGAACTTTAGGAAATTTGCTTCGGAGTTTCGCTTCCAAGAGAATAAAGCAATGGGATCTCGTTCTTCCTAGAGCTGAATTTGCGTATAATTCAGCTGAGAATCGCTCTACAGGAAAAAGTCCATTTGAAATTGTTTATGGACGTGCTCCTGGCCACTATCTCGATCTTTCTAATGTCACCACATCTAATAGAAATACTGAAGATTTTACAACTACCATGACCAAAATTCACGAAGAAGTTCAAAAGAAACTTGCGGAAAGTACTGCATCTTACAAGAAGGCTGCCGATAGTCACCGTCGAGTTCAAACTTTCGAGGAAGGTGATTTTGTTTGGGTTTATTTAAAAAAAGAAAGGTTTCCGGCTGGGGCATATCATAAACTCAAGGAGAAAAAGGTTGGTCCTTGTCGGATTCAAAAAAAAATTAACGATAATGCGTACAAGGTTGATCTTCCAGCTCATTTACGTACTCATTCTACGTTCAATGTTCGTGACTTAGTTCCTTATCACGGCGAGAATGATTTGAACTCTGAGACGAGTTCTTTCCCACCCGGAGAGGATGATGTAGTGGGTCAAACTTCATTTATGGTTGGTGGCGTTGGAGACTAAACCACTTTACATTCCAAGTTCATGAATAAGCCTGGAGCTTTCAAACTTTCAAGTTCATGAAGTTGCTATTTTTCAGTGTTGATATTTATTTTCGTATTTAAGTTTCTTGATAATTGTAACATGGCTAGTCTATAAGTTTGGTGTACGGAAGGAGAAATGGCAGATTGAAATATTATAATCGTCTGATAATAAAGTTTGAGATTCGAAACTCTCAATCTCTTTCATATTTCAACTTGTGTAATTGAGATTTGCATTTTTTGAAGTTTCTTCTTAATATCACCCTCATCAGTTTCATAGTACTAGCACTTTTAGAAGCAATGTCAACTATGGTGTTAACTATAAGGATGTTAGCGGAGGCCATAGGGGTAATTACATTTTTTGTCCTTATACTTTACCACTTATTCGTTTTTCGTCCCTAAACAAGTTGAAGTGACATTATTCGTCCCTAAACATGCCATTTTTTAGCAGTTTATGTCCTGCCGTTAATTCTTGCTGTTACTTTGGATGGAAATCTGACGTGAACCTGAAAATCTTAATATATGCTGCGCTGACATGGACTATAAATTGCATTGCATCAGATTTTTGTATGATGGAAAAAATTGTCTTTTGGAGATTATTGAGGCTATTTACGAGTCCAAAAAGAAATTAGCCATTTGGAAAAGAAGGCTTATGTTCTAAAGAAGATGCAATCTGAAATTGAAGAGAGGGGTTGACTCTTACGTATCATGTGCGAAGCACATGTTATTTTCCGTCCAAACTAACCAGCCAAATTGACGGAGGGATGAAAATAGCAGAAAAATGGCATGTTTAGGGATGAATAATGTCACTCCAACTTGTTTAAGGACGAAAAACGAATAAGTGGTAAACTATAGGGACGAAAACTGTAATTATCCCGGAGGCCATACATAGCGCAAAAAGTGCAACATTGTTGTGATCTCAACCACATTGTTGACATGTCCACCCGCATAATAACCCCTTGGAAATGGTGAACTCCATATATCACATTCTCAAACTCAAATTATTCCATTTTATACTAAGCTAGCTCAATTTTTATTTGGCCAACCCCAATTTTATATAAATTATCAGCGTAATTATTTATTCCTACCGTACGTCTTTATTTGCCCACTGCGACTACATAATGCAGTTTCGTAACACCCAAAACATGTGTAGGAAAAGTAAAAGGAATGTTATTAACTGAAATTCAGGCATCAAATTAAATAATTAGCTCCACGTTTCAGTTTTTATTAGTTATCATGCTATAGTTTCAATTGTATAGTTTCAAATTATTGTTAAGGGAGAATACAAAAAATGTTAATGACTGAAAACATATATTAATAATGTTTTACATAATTCGAATTTTTATGTTCAAATTTGCTACAACAACTGTGGAGAGGATATCTGCATCTATGAATATTATAAATAGTGTATGCAAAGTTCTCAAAAAATAAAAACTTGAAATTAAAGAGTCAACAATAATTTGTAAGGGCATCGATCTCCAACTGAGTTTACATGTTTTGTGATATTTTAAGAAATAAAGTCTAAAAAAAAATCATGGACGTTGCCTCCGAAATCCCATAATTTTTCAGTCGCGCCCATGTTGTCACGCCTTTTTGGCTCCGCCACTAACTCCGGCCTCAGCAACTTTCTCACTGCTTTTCCGTCCAAAACTCTCCCTAGCTTGCACGGATTGGATCGCTCACCAAATCTGAACCATGAATCTTTCTACAAATTTCCACCATGGTTTTGGTCTACAATATATATATATATAGGATTCTCAGTTTAAGGAACATGATTGGACAGTAGTATGTTGGCACTTTAAAATTTAAATCATATTGCAAATGTACTTCATGAATTTAAATTACTCTAATGGGCTGTTTCGCAAACTACTATAATATATGATTTCACATATATATAATAAACATTCACACGACTAACGCGTAGCAATAATACCAAGGAAGAGATAGTGCACGTAGCTAGAAAAATAATATCAAGCCGAAAAATATATCGAAGATGAGTCGTCGCCTGTAGATTTAGGAATATCAAGCATGATATCTTCCTTGTCGGTGAACTGAGCGGTCCTATTGTCATGATCCCAAAATATGTCGTGGTCGCAATATTTAAAAGCGCGGCTGCAGAAGTAGAAGTATATAAAATTTACTAGACTTAGAAGAGTGAGTATCCAATAATAGTAGTCGTAGTGGCCCTTGTTCAAATTAGTCGAAACCCAACTTTCTTTTGTAGCATCAGCACTTTTAGAAGCAACGTCTACTATATTGACAATAAGGCTCCCTACGACATTAGCGAAGGCCATACCTAAGGCGAAAAGTGCAACAGAGATACTTGCCATGCTCTTTGGGAATTGTGAGTAGTACAACTCTATTTGTCCTATGGCGTTCAAAGCCTCGCCTAATCCTGTTAGGCAGTGTTGCGGTAACAACCACAATGCTGACATGTCTACCTGCGATATTCATAACAATCTTATGATATCTAAACTATAAGCTAAAAAAATTCCTTCAAAATTTATATATATTAGTACTACTCCATCGTTCTACTAACTGTTTAGATAAATATTTTTGTTCCATATATGTTATCTGTTACTTTAGAATTCCAATACCACTGTTTTACCCTTATTAATTCAACTCTGAGTAGTAAATATTATTGAATGATAAAGGGTTTTATATGTTTTATGTTTTTTTTTCCTCAAATCATTAAGCCACACATTTATAACTAAGACTCTTAATTATAATTAATTAATTAGGTCGTGCGTGCATGCATGCATGTACATGAATACCTCCGCATTGGGAGTTTCCTCCAATCCTTGGTGGATAGCCTTTGCTCGTCGGGCCCTCTCGACAAGGGCAGCCGTTGCAGTGGCCATGCAAGAAATGAAAATCCCAATCCCAATTCTGGTTATGACCTTAATGCCACGTGGATTGTTTGTGTGCTTGGAGAGAAGAGGGACGATTACACGATCGTAGAGTATGACCCAAATGGTGAGGGTAAGGATTGCAAAGATGCCAAAGGAGCCAGCCGGAATCTTGAAGTTTCCGGCGAGGCGTCGGTTCAGCGTATTGGCTTGGAGCACCGGGAATGAGTGTTGGCTTATTGTTACTCCAATCATTATTCCGGTGGACCAAATCGGGAGCAATTGTATAAGAGATTTCAGCACTTGAACCTGCATCACACTGCATAGGCTCCATGTATCTGAAGGTGAACCATCTGCTTTTACCTCTTTCTCAGGGTTTATTAACATGCAGGCTTTGTTCAAATACCTGAAATTAACATAATAATATAATTTACGTTTAGTACAAACTTATAACAATGGTGGCTTTTCTATGAAGCAACTTGAAACCAAATCTTTTTTTGTGTATATTTTGGGACTAATTATCAGCTAGCCCTTTCTTGTTCTCATCGATCGGTTTGTACTTGGTACACTTACATGAATCAAATTTAATGCATAAAGAGGAATTAAAAAAAAAAGATTAAATAATCATGACATTTTGGGAATTCATTCGCCCCTTTCTTGTCTAATTATATGTGTTTTTGTTTTGGCAATTTATTGTTGAAGTAAGAGATAATTAATTAATTTCATGTCTCTGATAAGTTAACCGATATATTAATTAATATATGATATCTAACTAATATATATGCATGGAGAGTCTCATTATATATGAAAAACCTAACTGAGTTGATCTTTGCTGATGACAAGCATATTGAATAGTACGTTCTTGAAATAAAAACATGTGATATAAATAATAACCTGAGTTTTTGGGTGGGGACGAAAAGCTTGGAGTGATCGTTATTATAATAATAATGGGCAGAATCGTCGTTGTCGTCCGGTGGAAAAGGAAGGTGCCTCTTGTTCCAATACGCCACCCAAACTTGTACCAAACCGGTGAGCAAACTCTTGTTTGGTTTAACATTCACATATAGTTTGGATCCAATAAAGAACATAACTGCAGACAACAACATTAGACCAACAGGAACTCCGAAACCGATCACCCATCCAAACTCATTCTGTATGTAAACTATAACCGTGAGTGCTATCATAAGCGACACACCCAAAGACGCATAATACCAGTTGAAAAAGCTCTCCATTATCCGAACGCTGTTCGGGTTTTCAGGGTTGTCAAATTGGTCAGCCCCGAATGCCATTGAGCACGGCCTTATGCCACCTGCCCCAATCGACATAAGCACGAAAGCTACAAAGAGCAGAATCATTTGAACTGGTTTTGTGTTGTGGCATATTCCTGATTCTTTTATGTCACATTTAGGTGACCTTGACTTTTCTATTACGGCTGTTAACCATAGTAGAACCAACCCCTTCACAACATACATATATATATATATATATAGGTCATGAATATTTTTATTAATTAATAATATTCGAAATTTATAAAGATGAAAAAAATGAATTAAAGAATACTCACTAAAAGGGTGGTAAGAGTTGCGATGGAAATGACGAGGAATCGACCAAAGTAAGAATCGGAAAGAAAAGCACCGAAGATTGGCATGAAGTTGGAGATGGCTCCCCATACGAACAAAATGGTAGTTGCGTCTGCAGCACTAAAATGATATACTGTTATCAAGTACAATATCATATTTGGGATAAGTCCATAGCTTGCAATCTTCTCTAACGCCTCATTTGCTGCATTAACATTAATTATACATACATATTGAATATATTAATAAAAGGAAATGAAGAATTAATTAATTACCTATGATAAAAGGCATCGTCCTGAGGCCCCCTTTACTTGAACGGCTGCTGCCATTCTGAGGAGGAGTCTTTGCTGAGTCTGAACCGTTCATCTCCATTTTCTCATCAGCTTGCAATATAATAATAAATAAACGAATTTTGATTGAGAAAACTTATATATGTTTATTTATGTGTAAAAGGGAATTATATTATCTCATGAGAGACTAAGGAGAAAAAAGGCTAATGCCTGTTGTATTGTTTATTAATCAGTCCCCGGCCCCAGCTAGAACGTAACGGAGAAAACTAGATCATATCCTAATATTTAGTTTAATAACTAAAGTTTTGCTTTGCTTTTATCAATCTAGAACCGGCTTTGTCCTTTGTTTTGTAGACTGGCGATATATATCCTAATTTCAGATATAATATTCTTTCTGCATTTTATATTGATGATGCTAGAGTTAGATCAACTTAGAGAGTTGAAGTATGATGAGCTGGAATAGTGGATCACTGGCTCACGAGCCTGATGACCGTTCAAGTCAGACGTGCAAATAGTAGAAATAGTTCAGAGAATACATGTTGTAGTATTGCTCAGATAATAGGACGTACCTTAAGGAATGAGTTCAAACTTTTTTTAATAGCGTAGTTGAGATTGTCGGGCCCAAACCTTACTTGAAGGTGATTGAGCATCGGTGATAATGGTCTTCAATATTGGATTCGTGACCCATTAGGTAAAAAATTGTACTCCCATTGGGCTGCCCAATTAACCATATCACATATAGTTATAACACCATGTTTGTACGTGGGTTCCAGTTTTGTCTTTGAGGCCTCCTCGTTCATGAGTTTTACTGTTTTACAAAGGAGTTCATAATAGTAAAACTCCATTTTATGAACTAATTTTCATTTTACAAAGGAGTTCATAAGCCCTCAATATTAAATATTTCCTATCATATCTTTAATTGTATTTAATTAAGGTCTTGCTAGAAAGTGATTAAATTTAAAATGAACGCTCCGTTGATTAGAGATAATTGAACTCCATTATGTTGCGGTCAGTGGCGAGTCCAAGAATTTGTTATAGGGTGGGCATAAATTTTCCACCGTTAAGGGAGAGCGCTCTTGATTTTTTTTTAGGATTTTTTTTTACCAAATCAGAAATTAGAGGGAAAAAAAGGAAAAGCAAAAAAAATTAGAGTTTTTTTTGTATTAATTTGAATTTTAGATGGTCTAATTAATAAAGATTGGGGTTTTTATTCATTAATTTAAATTTTAGGTGGGTTAATAATAAAAAAAACGGGATTTTTTGCATTAATTTGAATTTTGGATGTATTAATTAATAAAAATTGACATTTTTCTTGCATTAATTTGGATTTTGAGTGAGCTAATTTCTAAAAATTGGGTGGACTAAATAGATATATATGTATAATATAGGGAAAGGGATTATTTTAGAGACCCCTCATTTCGAAAATATATATGACTAACTACCATGTTGTTTACATCCTAGTGCAAACCGCCTCCATTTGGATAATAATTTGACATACCCGTAGCCCACCCTGAAGTACCCAAAGTACCCTTTTAAATCAGTTTTAAACCCTAGCCCAACCCATATCGGTGTTTATCTTCCTCTCTCAATTCCTAGATCCAAAACCCGCCCCCCAAGGTCTCTTACCGGCGATTTTGCTTCTCGGAGTCATAATTCTCTCTCTGCCTCTCTGGTGGTCGGAATTCGAATGGTTGGATTCCTCTCGTCGAGCTCTTTCTTTTGGTGGGTATTTCATTCAGTTTGGAGTGCTAGATAATTTTCTGCATTTTTTTTAATCGGCGTATTTCGACGACGGTGTTCTTACAATAGGTGTAATTTGTTTTTCGTGAGTCGGAATTTGACGGGGCTACTCACCGTTGAATTCCTCTTGTCGGGATCTATATTTTGATGTCAATTTCATTCATTTTTATATTTTAAGATTTATTTCTATGTTTTTATATTTTATTTTATTTTTATATTTTCATATTTATTTCTCTCGATCTCTTAGGAGATGTTTGTTTCTATTTCCAAAATCAATTTCCAGCTTTATACTATACATAAAACAGGGATTATGTTTGTTTGACAATTTTCACTTGGAAATACCTATTTTTCTTAACAATTTTTCCAATAAAAATACACTATACATACTTTTTTCCACTTTTCAAACCTATAATAAAACCTACTAACCTATTTCTCTATTTTTCACCCATCTCATTAATAATAATAATAATAATAATAACAATAATAATAATAATAATAATAATAATAATAATAATAATAATAATAATAATAATAATAATAATAATAATAATAATAATAATAATAATAATAATAATAATAATAATAATAATAATAATAATAATAATAATAATGATAATGATAATGATAATAATAATAATAATGATAATAATAATAATAATAATAATAATAATAATAATAATAATAATAATAATAATAATAATAATAATAATAATAATAATAATAATAATCACCCTCAATCATTATATTCTACTTTTGCACGTACTTTCGTTGAGAAAATTCACCACAACCAAACATATTCTCATTTCTACACCTATAAAAAACTAAAAATATCGCTTCATCCAAACATATTCCCATTTTCTTCACAAAAACCAATACATCTACTTTTTCCATCAGAAATTTTGGAAGCTAGAAATTTCCATTGGAAACATAACCAAACATCCCCTTAGTGTTTGTTGTTTTTTGAGGATGTTTCTTTATTTTTTGTTCATTTGCACTAAAATAATTTTTTTGTTTTGATTTTGCAATTGCAGCTTAATTAAGGGCATTGATCCTTTCCTTGAAGGTGTCAAAATTTTTGTTTTAAGTTACATATGTTTTGTTCAACAGAATGTATACATTACTATACATTACTATAGTAACATGTAGTTACATAAAAAAAAATAGGCATCACACAAAGAAAAAAGAATAAAACTAGGCCCACGGTCTTCTGGATACTGAATACCTACACGGTACTCCTCTCAAGTTAACTCCCCTGATATTGACAAGGGACGAACTCGTTTAATCTATTCAATTTAATAGCCTTAACATGCTTTTCCAAAGTGACTTTAGGCGAAGCTTAATAAATAAGTCAAGGTAGGTATCCTGACTCATGATCTGCTGGATCATTATTGTTTGAGCTCTTATTGTTGCTGATTGATTGAACAAAACCTCATAATTATGTTCTTGGAGTTGCACATTGAATGAAGTTCGTCTTCATTTGCCCAATGCATGATGCATAACAGTTAAATACAATCTCGTAGGATCTTCTGTGTTAGCCAATTCACATGAATCTCGAACATGCCCAATCATGGCTTCAGGCCATGCACATTCACGTACTACCTCAAAAAGTTATGCATGATTAGACCAAGTGACAACTAAGGTACATTTCACAGACCTCCAAGATATAACTATTTTACCAATATTAAAGATTTTGGGGACGAGCTTTATATGGGTTTGACATATAGTCAATCTCAGTATAACCCACAAACTTTGCATCTTTCACTGATGTATATGGCGTACGTATCGATGAGGTGAGTTAAGTCAACCTAACAAATTTACTGAAAACGTTAAACCATATCGAGTACATGCCGTTAAGTACAATAATAAACAAATTGCACTTAGATATAATACTTCATGTGCAAACATTTTCTCGTTCTCCTCCACATGGCAGAGTGAATATCATTCGACATATCTAACTGTCGAGGTTCCATAGGTATTAGTCAATAATTCCTCTTTATTCACATTAAAACGTCTTAAAATCTTTTGATGTAACAAGATATCATCGACATGATAAATTTTCTAGTCGAGAGAGCCAATCAACATTGGGTTCCTCAAGATCTCTGGTCTCGAGCTCAAATTTGAAGAATTGAGTTGTTTACTTGACTTCTCTGGGAGTCCCAATCAAGTTTATGTTCTCGACATAAACTGTAGTCATATGAACAATGAAAACCCATTATTGTTCACATATTCTCTTCCGAGCAAGTTTTCACATATGCGAATATCCTACATTCCAAAATATTTCAAGATATATAGTGAACATCTCATCCTAACTGAGTTTATGTTGATCTGGCCTGGAACTAATTGCTTCAGGAAATCGAAGTCCTTCATGTACTTTTATATAAATACATGTACTTAGATCCACAACAATAATAGTTTGTTAACATCATTCACTTAGGTTTCGAGGCAGTTGGCTGAGTGGGATGATTTCGTTTTTTTATTCTCCAGCAAACTACTTCGTTGAGTCCACTAGAGAATAGATGAGAGTATATGGTGGGGTTGAGTTAGCAAGCATGAACTAAAACCCTATAAGTGGGCTTAAGAGGAATACAAGCCCATTGGATATTCCTAGATATATGAGTCAAACCAATAGCCTAAAGAACATCTGCTCCGAAGCTCACTGCCCTAGAAGTTCAATCCCGTAGGAGCTCACCACTCCCATTAAAGATGATCACAAGGCGAGGATGACACATCAGAAGGCGCGAAGATAGTGAGCAAGCAAAGAGAGAATAGAGAAGAAGATATGGAAGACATGATCCATAAATAAATAAGGATTATTGTAATCGTATATGACAAGTGAATATTTAGTAATAAATGCTTCACATATCAAATGACCTAAAGATAGGAAATGTTTATTTTTAGGATGCGCTATATTTATGGATATGGGGTGAACTACATAAGATGCAATCACAATAATAATACAATAACACACATTCTTTTCTATACTCTCTCTTAATTTGTATTTTTTGTCAATTTAATTCATCTTCGCCGGCCATAATACTTGCGTTAGGCGGGCTCTCCAGTGGTCACGGGAGTAGGCTTTGAAAAGAGGTATTGAAGGTGTAGATCCTACACCATCAGGATCCTACACCATCAGGAAACATCTATAGCTCAAGGAAGGCTCGGATAACATTTTAGTGCAGACGTACATAAATAGTGAAGCATGACCACTGCATAAATCTTGGTTTAGCGGAGGGTATCCGCATAATGGCCTAGCACGTCCTCTGTCTTCTTCCAATGGCCGGCATGAAAGGACACTTCTCCAAAGTTGGAAGATGGGATCTTCCATGAGTCTCACTTGAAATGAAGATTCAGAAAGGATGAAGTCCACGGCTTGTCTTTCACTTCATGAAACAAAGATTTCAGCAGCAAGACTCGTGAGTGGGAAGAAGAGCCGAAACGAGAATCAATTGTTTCCCTAGTAGCTTCTTCGAACCACAAAATGTTTAGTTCTTTCAAGTACAAATATGCTACTCAAATCTTCATGTTTGAGTTGTACCACTTAACTTATGTTCCCCATTTGAGCCTCAACCCTCCATATATAATTTAGCATGGCACCTTGCATCTAGGACTATTTGGTCATTGGTTCGAGACACCAGAGAAAAATTGGGGAACCAATAACTATCCTCCTCTAATTAAAGAGGAAAAAAAACAATTAGATGCAATTGTAGAATAAAAATAAATAACTTTAAGTACAATGCATAAATTAACTCGAATCATCAAATTTGAGTGTTATCATATAAGCATCTAAGTGTAGTATATTCCTTCGAGACTGATATTCTCTCCATATTTCATCTAAGCTTCAAGTTTTCGTAATTAATTTAGACTTGGGACTAAATCTTTAGAACTTCGAGTTCGTTCATCAAAAAATAAATCTTAACCTCAAAATAAATGAAATTGTTCCACATGTGAAACGTTAGATAACTTGCTAATGATATTAGTTACGTTTTTTTCTCGCACACCTAGTCAAATTACTTGAAATAAATATATGTGTAAAAGAATGACTCCCTTGTAAGGGATCTACTCTTATTCCTTATGAAATGATGAAAAGAAGGTCTAAGAGGTAAAGTGAGAAGGTAAAGTAAATTGGTAAAGTTCCTTAATGAAATAATGATTGAGGTAAAATCGAAATGTTTATATTGTGTATACGTGTGATTTGAGATGGTATATATATATATATATATATATATATATATATATATATATATATATATATATATATATATATATATATACACACACACACATAGCATAAATATATGTTTGTTTGCCTATGTGTACTCAATTTACTTCGGAATTCTCATTGAGTCCAGAAGATTCATATAGGTGTTGAAATGCTTGTATGTACTTTTAATCCCGAGCACGAGTCGTAAAGTTGGAGTTGAGTTCGAGGATCGAGGAATGTGTTCATATGGAAGGCGTGTGGATCTTGTGTGCTCTTATATAGTTTAATTTAAAAGACTTTCGATACCGTCTTAGGTATCTATTATTGTACTATTCCACCCCTCGGAGGTTCTTATTAGTAAGAACATTACATTAATAATAATTAGGATTATGATTACCTCCTTTTTGTTAAGGGTATCCACAAGTACTTACGTAGCTCCAAGGGCACCTTATGCCAAACTTCTATATAATACTCATTGGTTAGTTATATGTTGCATTATACCCTGTTGTTTGATAATATGTGTTAAATATATTTTCTTTCTATAATTGTATGTACTTTTACAGATTCATAGATCTTTCTGTTATGGTCGTTTTGGTAGGTTTTTTTGCATCATTTGGATAAGCCATGAATTTATTATGAATTATTTTACATAATTGTACACATGCAGAGTCATTTTTGAAGTTTTCTTACTCAAATGGATCCATTTCACTTGGAATAAATTTATAACTCACTTTTCTACTTTGGTATAAATTTTGTATTGTTTAGAACAGTCTCTCTCCCCTGTTCTAAACTTTCAAACTGTATAGGTGCATCTCTTTAATTATTTCTCTCCAATGGTTAATGATATAGTAAACTATTTTAATGTAGTGATTTAGACCCATATGAGAGTATGTGGTTAAATTTTTAAAGTTTTTTCACAAAGGGTTTAAGAGAAATTAATTTTCGAAATTGATCTACCTAATCTGTTAGAAATTTCTCTCTTTACTCTTGATAATTTAAATTACTAGTCATGCATACCTCTTTTCTGATAGTTGATTAAGTATATATGGTATGGTATGGAATAAGTGGGCACTCTTCCTTTGATTTTAAAAGAAAAAATTATGCGTAATTTTCTATTTGTAGGAGGTGATTTTTAAAACGAGCATTTCACACTTATTATTTTCTAAAAGTCTTCCTCTAGCATATTCTAAATACTAAGTAAGTGTAAATAGAAAAGGGGTATCACACAGAAAGAACTTTTTTTATTCAAGCTCCGATTAATATATATAAAATCAATAACAACACTTTTACTCGGTATAAGGAAAAGGGTAGAACATTTTGGTATCATATCAAGAATGAATATTCGTTAGGGGTGTGCACGAGTCGGTTCGGTTCGATTTTTGGCTAAAACCGAACATGAACCGAATATATCAGTTTCTGTAAAATTAAAAACCATATATGTCGATTTTTCATCGGTTCGATTTCTTTCGGTTTCGGTTATTTTCGGCTCGGTTTCGGTTATTTTTCGGTTCAAGAGTAACTATGTATTCAAGTTACAAAAGAATCCAATTACAATTACTTTCACAACTAACTAATGCAATGAAAATATAAAATCTTTAATCCCATACGACTTAACGTAATTTAGATGATGTATTGTGTTTCATTTTTTTTTCATACTTTCATCAACCACATTATTAAAACCATGAACTCAAGTATAGTTTTAGTTACTAAATAAATAAAATACAATTCCTCAATTTATGAAAAAATGCTTAGAATGAGACAAGTAATTGAGAGATAGAAAGTAAAAATTATGGTAAAATAATACATACATTACATAAAATGAAGTCATTTTATATATTCGGTTCAGTTCGGTTCGGTTCGGTTATTTATTTACCCTTTCCACCATACCGAACTGAATAATTCGGTATTTCAAAAATAAAAACCGTACATGCGGTTTGCTATTCGGTACGACTTGAAACGGCTCAATTTATCGGTTCGAGTTTTCGATTTTTCGGTTTTTTTGTTCACCCCTACCTAATATTCGTTCTAGCTGACACAAACATAATAACTTTACTTGGTCGATGCCATCAAAGGCTATAACATTCATACATATATGACCGCCAATTGAACCGAGCCTAACGGAAGCCCGATGGCTCGACTTGATTATATTTGAGCCGAACTTATTTTTTAGTGAGCCGAGTCGAGTTTGAGCCATTTTATTAAACTTGATTTATTTATCAACCGAGTTTGAGCCTACTATGGCTCAACCTGAATAGGCCAAACCCGATTTATTTTAATGTTGTGACTCAATATACAAGTTACGACTGTATAAGAGTATTTTATTTTGCAACATAAAATGAATTAAGTGGTGGCGGTGGCAATAACTAAATATGAATCAAATGCAAAATACCCACCGAAATCCAATAGCTGAAACTTATCACCGAGATTTGAGAATATAAAACATTTCCAATAATAAGATTCTTTCAGTCTTGTTTTTAAATTTTTCCAATAACTTGCAAAGATCATTTAGGGTTTTTTTGGATTGGCTTCAATAGAGGTAAATTTTGTTTATCACTTGTTTTTATAATTTTTTTACTCATTACATTATATAGCAATGAGGCCCGATATAAACCAGAAATCCGAAAAAATACAAGAGCCGAACTTGAGCCTATACTAATTGGGCCCGGTGGTATATAGTAACGTGGCCCGATGGTATGTAAGCTTGAACCAACCCAAGCTCGGCTCACATGAACCGATTGTCAGCCCTGCTACATAAATACATATAAATACTATGGTAGTACTAGTTCTTGTGTATAAATAAAAATAAATTGGCATCACACAAGTATATATTTAGTATTTACTATAGGGATGCCCTTGCTCGTGAAGGCATTGAAACAGGTGCACTCTGCATGGAATAACAAACATATTCAACCTACTCAAACTCCAAATATGCATAATGGGCAACATTTCGAATTATATATATTGGAAGAAGGATTTTATAAACATTCATGCATTTAAACTTGAAAATAAAATATTATGACACTACAACTCCCGCCATTATTACTTCTGTGGTCATGGTTATAAACATATTCAAAACACATGCACACTTTCTAAACTATTATCTCAGATCTTCAAGTATAAAGGCAACTCGGATTCGTAATATTGAGAGTAAGAGAGTAGAATTTCACATGAATCATGCTTGCTGGAAGACATATATTATACATGCGTCTCTGAGCTGTAAGCATGCGTTAGGTTATACACGTATATTACATTCTAATTTAATTTATTATCTTTATCGGTGATTGCAACAGCTGATTCGACTCGTTTCTAATACGAACATAGTAACAATATTTACTCAAAATTTTATAGTAGACTTTAGAGTACCTAAAGGCAATTACACTAATATCTTATACTTCCAAGTTTTTTATGACATTCCTCAAAATACTGATGCCACCTCAGGTGCGCTCCTTAACGATTTCTTAAAGGCTCTCTAACTAAGTAAATATGACCCTCTTTAATTCGTCTTTAATTAGACAATTTTTTTCTTTTTTGCTTTTCCTTTAGACGAAACATTTGTCAACCATGCTTGTCATCTATTGTACTATGTGATTAAATTCAAGGGTACTTAGCAAACACACAACACATCTACTAATAGGCTAATACTATATGTTACTAAAAGGACATATGCAGCGAGTAATTGTAAGCATTAAAAAAACATTTACCAATGGAATGCCTCGTTTTGCTCTTTCTTCCAGAAACTTTGATGGTCTGAAGAAATTACCATATAATTTAGACCACTTCTCGAGACTTGTATATACATGATCTGCCCCAATGGTGTCAGCCCAGAATATAACACCACCTCTGCAACAACAAACACCTTAGTGATCTTTTACCAACTAAGTATATACTCAATTTTCTTGGTAAAATTCAATAACCACACTATACTGGCATATTCATGATTATATACATACATTATACGTATTCAGAATAAACATTTACAGATATTGATCTGTTGGTTTCTGCAGAAAAAAAACACATTTACAGATATTCAGAATATACATTTTCATCTTTAAACAAAATTGTTCCATTTAATGTAGTTAAATACAGCCGGTCAGGTTTTTCTGCATCTTTTCAAGGTTCGAGTTAATTGGATTCATATAAGTGCGCAAGGTAAATAGAGTAAACAAAAAGCAATCAACACTCCCAATCTTAGTGTTACATGCCGAAAGAACTCACCTATAAGATGGGAAACTCATGCCGAGAATAGAAGCTACATCTAGATCTGATGCTCGGATAACAATTCCATCATCCAAAACACGACACGCCTCATTCACTACAGGAAAGAGGATCATCTTCACAATTTCTTCATCAGTAACGGATATAGGCTGCATGGACCAGCATTATAAAATAGTTACTCAAATTTGAATGTATATAGGAAAAGTAGCAGGGTTAATGACGTAACAACTTCGAATACTTATATGCTGCCATCAGTTTTAAATAAAACAGTAAAACCTACTATATACCTTCCCACCAGGCATAACATTGGTAAGCCTCCTACTTTCCTCTATGACTGGGAGCACTGAAGAATCAGGTTTTGGCTTGCTTCCTTTCTCATAGACATAATATCCTTTTCCATTACATTTACCTGCAATAGGAAACACAACAAATTAGTAATATTAAACATGTAATTCTAACCCAAAAAAAAAAAATAATAATAATAATAAATTAATAATAATAAGGTAGAAATATAGTTCATTTACAACCATTTCTCCCATTTTGTATAAGAAGATTAAGCAATGGAGATTCAAAGGTTCGATCAGGGTATGATAAAGAAAATTGTTTCGTTGTTGCAACAGCTACTCCATATCCTGCTAAATCCTGAAGCCTGTAAAAGAACCAGGAGTCTTATTCATTTTTTTTTAGTATATAATAAAGACTTTGATAGAGAAATATACAATCGAAGAAAAGAAAATTACTGGAAAGGACCAATAGGAAATCCAAAATTGCCGATTAGCCGATCAATTCTGAAGACATCAATACCCAAGTTAACCAAAAGATGTGCACTTTGGGAGTATGGGAAGAAAGTTCTATTGACAGCAAAGCCAGTGCAATTTTCCACTACAATCGGAACTTTGTGTATGGTCTTTGCAACAGTCATTAGATCAAGAACTACTTGAGAAGAAGTCTTCTCTGTTCGTACAATCTCCAGGAGAGGCATTATATGGGCAGGACTGTCAACATTTGCATCTCAGTTAGCATTTAAATCAATTTTGTAGTCACTTTAGGATAAGACAAAACTGCCAGTATGTTAAACACTCGGATCCAAATTGTACAACATGCCCTATCCTGTTGAGGTATGAAAGCAATGTGTACAAAAAGAGAATTTTATTGAACTAGCCATATCATATATATAAGCATAGAAATCGAGAACTATTAGTAAAACATGTTTCCAACCTAAGGGGTACATTGCTGCCAGATTAATTTAGCATTAAAATGGAGATGGATTTTTTTTTTTTTTTTTTTTTTGAGTAATTCAAGTCATTACAAGGGGAAGTAGGGGAGGGGGGACTCGAACCCTAGACCTTTTACCCTATTGGTAAGGCTAGGTACCAACTCTCCTAATGAGAGTTGGTAAATGGAGATGGATTTAAAGATACATAATGTACCAAAGTATGATTAATAAATCCCGGCCATGTCTTTGGAAAAGGGAAAGCAAACTGAACTGATCGTTGAAAACTGTTCAAATTTTCAGTTAACATGTTAACTATTTTTGTTTGTGTCATTTTCTATAAGTTTTATTATAAGCATGCTACAAAGATACCATATTCTATTCCAATTTCTAAGAGGAGATGACTGAATAGAGATTTCCCCTCATCCTTCTTCTTCTTCAAATTTGTTGTCATCCATTTGATTCGATGGAAATGGTTAATATGTTCAATTTGTCATGAATTTCAGACACTCCAAGTAGCTAACAGCACTTCTGAAACTTCCAGAGAATAATGCTTTAAGTTGCAACAAGATTTACGAAACCCACAGCAAATTTATCGAGAAGTTGACCTGAAAAAATGTGCACCCACAATCCGATCTTTTGATTTCGTCTTTTCTCCAACTATATTGAGGTCAATGGTCGATGTATTTGAGGCCAAAATACAGTGAGGAGGGCATGCTCTTTCAGTATCAGCAAAGATTTTCTGTTTTAGGGCAATATTTTCGTTAACAGCCTGCATTTTAGATAACAGTATCAGAAAGCTTATAGTTGGAAACCACAAGAGTGGCACTGATTCTTATAAATCACATATGACATGATCTAACTTAACTTCAAGACGTAACTTTTCTTGCCTTATAAACGACCTGGCAGTCGGTGCTAAATGTAACTAACTTAACTATGGAGAGATTTTGTGGTAGACTAATACTGGATCTGAAGATGGGTATATATGCATAGATGGTTACTGTTTACAAAACTTATAAACAAAGAGAACCATTGGGGGATATTTTAATGCAGATAAAGGATTAAAGAAAAGCAAATAAAGAGGATGAGATTCTAGAAAGATAACTGTCAACAAAAATAATTTAGGTGCTATACGTAGTTAATCCTAGTTAGAAAAGGCGTAAATGTCAACAAATATAAGTTTTTTGAAGACATTACATATTCAACCTTTTCTAAAGCACCTCAACAAATTTTGCGAGATTTTGTCGTCAATGAAAAGACAATATTTGTCAGCAGAAATTTTTTCCTTCACTTTTATAAATTGGAGGCTTTTAGACTCCAACAAGTCCCCAAGCTACATCCTAATTTACCAACTTATCAAATAATGAAGAAATTACAACTGCTTTGACTTGTAACAGTTAATATAAAATAAGTCTATGATTTTACTTTAGTAAATACAACTTATACCATAATTCATACAAACTTCAGACTTTCCTTTGAAAAGAACTCCATGGATAGAATATTAAACATAAACTCATCATTCCAGACTACCTTTAAGATTTCTATATGGAAACAACTCGACTGAATTGACCCATTAAAGTATAGGCAATAAATCCACTAGAGTTGCATCCTACAAAAATATTATTTTCGGTAATTCTTCTAAGAAGGTTTCCTCATTCATGCAGAATATGAACCCACGTCATAAATAAATCCATTAAGTAATCAAGAAAAAGAAAGTCAAAACAAGAATCGGAAAATATAGAAAGATACGTTGAAAAGTTAAGCATATTACTAAATGTAGTCTCTCCTGCATACCTCTATGGCCATATCCACATACTTGAATTCAGAGTAGTCTACAACACCTTTAAGCCTCATCAGAGCTTTCTCTGCTTTATCATCTGTCAACTCCAAACCTCGGATGTTTGCTGCCACTCAAGGCAGAGAGAGAATGAGTAATTCAAAAGGTTAAAATAAGTAAAAGAACATCAAAGAAATTCAAAGATCAGCTTATAAGAAATTTCAAATAACCTTCTACTGTTTTTATTCCCTTCAGAAGGTACTCGGAATTGATTTCTTTGAGAAGGACAGAAATATCCCCCAAAATAAGAGCTGTAGCTATGCCAGAGCCCATTAACCCGCCTCCAATTACAGCAACTTTCTTCACCGGTCTTGGTTTCCGCCCAATATCATTGACAATAGGTAACTGTATGATTAAAAATTTGACTTCTCATCCAGTAAAGAATAGGTTCCGTACATTTAAAAGCATTTGCATGAAGAGGAAAAATGAAAAAGAAAAAAGAGCACCAATAATTTCCTTCAGTTGAATAGCTCATAAATTTTCCTTGAGTCAAAAACTTATCTCGACTACTGTATAGGTATATAGCTCATAAATTTTCGTAAAACACCTAATCAATATCTATCAAATAGCCGAACAGGAGGCATAATGGATGTTATAATAGCAAACTCAGGATCATAGAAGCAAAAACAAAACTATAATAAGCCATACAAAACTGCATGAGGAAATATTCTCCTGCAAACATTAGCTTGCGAAAACTCTGTTTTTATTGGTAAACTTGAATAAAGGACGGTTCGACATGTCAATACTGGGAACAATGGTATTTATAGCAAGGAAAATCCGTTGACTTTTAAAATTTGTGAGGGTTCAGAAGGTCCCTCTATCCCAAAAAACAAAAGCCTATTTGACTCAAAAATATTTATCCTATCCTTTTTTTTCGTTAGACGTTCATACAAATATGAGAAACTCTATTACAACCATTTCGGTTCATTCAATTTACTCTACGGATATGGGAATACATAGAGTTGAAATTGTTCGTTTGGAAATTTGCAAAAAAGCTATTGTTGGTAATGTAAGAGAGTAAAGCAGTACAAAAATGGGTGATCGGATCAATTTTACCTTTGTTGTTGCCCTTTGAGAAAGAAATGAATGGACTAGACCTTTCGACGTTTCTTGAAAGACTAGCTCTCTGAATACTTTTAATTCCTGCAAAATCATTTTATACTAAGTTGCAACAACATGAGGTACTCTATGCTTCCGATTGTTTACAAGTTAAAACTGTCTAGAGATTTAGACAACATCATATTAAGCACATATTAACAAAAAGTGAGCTCAACAAATTGTTCTTCCATACCTAGGAAACCAAGATAAGGTACACAAAGAAACCGTGATTTTCCATACGTCATATTCATATAAGTTTCAAGAAGCAGCATGTTTCCTGCCTAGCTGAATAGTTTAATTTCCAAAAGTAAATTTACCTTTAAAATTCCATGATATCCTCCATAAATAACTCCTTCTTCAATCACATCAAGACATGCCTGATGCTGAGGCATATTTTTAGCTGTCAGTTTGACCTGTTGTTTTGCCTTTTTTATTACAGTAAATGCTTCGAACAAGGAACCAAGCTTGTCCGTCCTATGAAGAGACCGTATCCATGGTTTACGTCTCACTGTTATGTCTAATGCCCATTGCCTAGATACTTTCAGCAATTCTTCTGAAGGAACAACAGCATCAACAAGACCTAGCTTGTTTCCTTCTTCTGATGTTATTGACCTAGATAACTGAAATAAATCATATACATTGGAGATTGAGCTTCAGTTCAATGCCTACCTTATAAAACAAAGCCCTTAACATATTCAAATTAGAACCACGGAAAAGCAGCACATAAAAGAAACATCAATTGAACATGTTCAGACATATACTCAAGATGATGCAGCGTTCTAAAACTGTTCAACTGTAAGCTCTAAAGCCAACAAAATTAGAGATCAAATTGCAATTATGGTTCTATTTATAAATGATTTCAGTTGCATCGCCAGAACAATTGTTGTGCCATTTCAAAGCTCGTACAGATTGTTATTGGAAATAGTTTACAGTCATTTATTTTGCATGCAGCCAATGGAAAAGATTGCGAGTATTGAAGTGAAGCCGAGTCGTAACTTTGGTAGGGAGGTAGCATATTCATTTTCTTTAACAAGGCTAGGCACCTTCACTAACAGGCCTCACTATCTATGAATAGTCATTCTAAATCCATGCATATTGGAGATATGCGTAATAAAATTGAGAATTTAAAAATGAATGAATCACCAAATAGATAAAACTAGCCATAGCTTACTGATAATATAAGACAGAATGTTAAATTAATTCACTAGGAAGCTTAATCAATAGTTCTTTAAATCAGCTCGATGATGCTTCAAAAGTGATAAATATATCAATCTTCCCTCGAGTTTTTTTTTTCTCTGTCCTCTACATCTTCTGGTTTGAAAAGACTAATCATATACTGGCTGAACTTACATTGATAAATGGAATTTGTGGCATAAATGCTCTCTTTGTTAATGCTAGCAGGGGTGGGCAAATTCAAAGAAGGTTTTCTTGTACGTTTCTTCCGAGAAAGGCCACAAACTGTTTGGCAGAGTTAACTAGTAGAAGAAACGAAGTATTCTAGAAGGGCAAACTTTTCAACTATAGTTGCTATATCTATCTATTCTCTAGCTCCCTAACAAGTTGTTTCATGTAGTACTCTTAACTACATCACTTATCGTTTAGAAGGGCACTTGGGAAGGCAGACAATTTTGCCAAGGGTCAGATTTTCGACACATCAAGTATCTAAGGGAAGATAAAAGGATGAGGGCAAAATAGTCAAGTAATCAGCTCTTAACAAAAACTCTTATCACAGAAATGCACGAGTTTAACACAAGAATAACATCTTCCACAATGTTCAGCTTTATCTGCAAGTGCCAAAGGAGGGAAGGAGGGAAGGAGGAAAACATACCAGCAACATTTCAAGAGCTTTTGGCAAACCTATAAGCCTTGGGAGACGTGTAGTACCTTTCAAACAGCTAATGTTAGTACATGGATTATTTTGAAAAAAAAAACAATCGAACTTCTGATCAGAATTACCAAATACCAACCTACCTCCTGAACCAGGAATAACGCCAAGGATGAGTTCGGGCAGACAAAGTTGTGTCTTTGTAGCAGCAATCCGTGCATGACATGACTGTGCAATCAAAGAATGAACTTATAACAAATGAGTTAACCTCGGACCATTATTAGAAATATGCCGAGGATTACAAACCATAGCTAATTCCAAGGCACCTCCAAGCACAGGTCCCTCTAAGGCGGCAACAACAGGTTTCTTAGCATCTGACAAAGAAAAATAATGATGACTAGAAAAATCTAGGAGAAACTTCAGTAATACAAAATCAAACATTTATTAAATTAGTCAATGACCTTCTATCACGTTGACAAAGAGCTCAACAGATACGTCGGGTATGATAGAAATATCCCCTGCCAAATACCCGTAATCCCAATGCATGTGGTCAAGGTTACAGAATAACAATAAAACTAAATCGCACAAAAAATAAACGCATACCAGCTTTTTGTGCCCTTTCAAAAATATTGACATCAAAGCCACCTGAGAATTTGCCACCATTGCCTTCAAATTGAACAGACTAACAAAAATCAGTTTCAGTTCCAAATTGCAGCACCATACGCTGAGGATGAAAACCTAGAGGACCTCAATATAATAACATTAGCAATACTAGATCACCGTCAACTTTTAAGTAGTGAGAGTTCAAGAATAAAAATAATTTTAAATGTCATCTGAATTAAAACAAAAAATTGATTACATATTTGGAAACTCTCGAAAAAACAATATATCTCCATCTGACATTCTATAAATCTCAAGTTAACATTTCTAACTGTATATAATGAAACTTGAAAAGTATTAATTAGATAAACAATATTTTTTTCTCAGGCACCCATTAAATCAGCAATCATCATATCGAACACTGATTTGTGATTTTTAATTATAATATATATAACCGAATACAAAAACATGAAGAAAATGGAGCAACACCTATAAGAACAACTGCTTTAACATCATCCCTTCCCATTGCCTCAGTAAGCAGTTCCTTCAGTCTATCAAAAACTACAAAATGAAAAAGAAGAGAATAAATACAGAAAACAATTCCAACCAAATACAAAATCATCATAATTTGAACATTTACAAACAATGTTTACACATAGTGATGCGGAAAGTGATACAATTAGAACTTACTCGCGGCAGAGAGGACATTGACGGGAGGATTAGAAATGGTGAGAATGGCAACGGCGTCGTTCCCTACCTCCATTGTTACTCCGCCCTCCTTCATTTTTCTTCTCTTTTTAAAATCAAGGAGAAAATCGAAGAAATAGAGAAAAAACAAGTGTGATGGTTTTGGGGATTTTGCCAAATAGAGCGAGGGAAATAATAACAGTCGGTACCACGAAATTACAGTGCGTGTCGATTTTTTGGCAGTTGTGAATACTAGTAGTACCCAAGTCAAAAAAATAATACTAAGACCAAAGACTATTCAAGTAGTCAAATTCAAGTAGTCAAATGCAAATAAAGGAACCAAACTAGAAAAATCTTGGGCAAATGGCAAGTAGGTCTACGACAAAAGTAGCGATAATTGTAGTTTTGGTCCTTCAAATTTACATGTTTTTCACTTTTGGTTTCCTATTTATCGTCGTCAACAAAATACACACTAATGTTGTTATATTTTGAACATATTTAGTCCATCCGTCTGTTTGAGCGTTAAGAAGTAATGGTCAACGGTTGAATTTGGGGTTTTTCTTTGAGAAAATTGCAATAAGATCCCTGTATTCTTTCAAAATATTCTAAAAACTCCTAAAATATTTTTCAACCTTAATTTAACCTCAATTTCATCATTTAATCAATTTTGACAAACGACCCCCATTTTTACCACCATTACCGCTGATCGTTGACCGTCGTTGATTTTTTTTTAACTTTTTGTTTCGGCATTGACTTTTTTTTTAATACTGTTTTTTACGTCGTTCACCGACATTGTATTCTCGGTTAACAATGTTGACTTTTTTACTTTTCTTGATATTTGTGGAAATTTTTCCTGTGCCTTTTTTTTTCCGATCAAACACAATATTATTATTGTATAACACAATAATAATATTATATTAATATCTAGTATAGTAATCTTAAAATTACAAACTTTTAACAATATTTTTATCTAAAATTTTGGGGCCTAAATACAATTATAAAAAAATTCTGAAATCTGTAATTTCTTCCCCTCATTTTTTTTTGGAACCGCCAATGCATCCCAAATTTCTTCTCAAAAAAATATTAAGAATATGAATTAGGCATGTGCGGAGTAATTTGGAAATGAGATAACCACTCTAGTACAACGGTTTATAGGGTTAATACGGCCGTTAATTATTATTTTTTTTTATTTGTCTTAAAAATTTCCCGTCATTGACCTGCGTTGAAGTTTTTTTTTTTCTTTTTTTTTTTGGCTTCTTTTATGACATTATTTTTCTCGCGGATTATCAACTTTGACTTTCTTTCTTAAATTATATTTTTTTCACTACTCAACAATTTAAATAAAAATCAATAAAGAAATGTCAACGTTGTTAACTCGATATTCAACATCGGTCAACAACGGGAAAAAAATATCAATCGAAAAAAGAGTCAACCGAGTTAAAAAGAAAGTCAACGTCGGATTACCCGATTTTGAAAAATCGGGGTACATATCATGTGGCTCACATTCCGTGGTCGACTTTCCGCTTTTTGGGATTCCACTAATAGAGCAGAAGCGATGGGGGTCATTGGTTAAAATTGTTTAATTGATGAAATTGGGGTTAAATTATGGTTGGATAAAACTTTAGGGGTTTTTAGAATATTTTGAAAGAATACAGGGGTCTTATTGCAATTTTCTCAAAGAAAAACCCAAACTTCAACCGTTGACCGTTACTTCTTAACGGTCAAACAGACGGAGGGACTAAATGTTTAAAATGTGACAACATTAGCGTGCATTTTGTTGACGGCGGTAAATGGGGGACCAAAAGTGCAAAACGTGCAAACTTGGGGGACCAAAACTGTAATTATCTTAATTAAAAAAAGATATTTAATTTTTTTTGTGTTGCAAATAAATTTACCTTCTTCAAACTTATTTTGTAAATAAGTAAGACTCTTTTACATATACCAAAAATTACCCAAACTCCTTGAAACCCTCATTTTCAATTTCATAATTTACACCCCAATATAGTCAAAATTCACCAATTAACAAATTTTAACTTTTATTCCAATTTTGACCGCCACCGCCGGAGACAGTCGGTCAGCCGCCGTTGATTTTTTTGTTTCGGAAATTTTTTTTTCCGCGACAGGTCTGCCGTCGTTGACCGCCGGTCTCCAACGTTGATTTTTTTTTTAAATTTATTTTTATTAATATTACTGTCTTGGAGACAGTAATTTAACTGTCTCAGACAATAACTTTACTGTATTAATTAATTTGTATCGTCTTGGCCTGCAATTTTGTTGTATTCGACCGTATTATTACTGTTAGGACAGTAATATTAGTAGTAATATTGTTAGGGACAATAATATTACTGTTGTGGCATTCAATATTATTGTCCCAGACAATAATTTTCCTGTTAACTCCGTAATTTAGAGAGAAAAAAAAATTAAAAAAAAATGAATCAACGCCGGAATCTGACAGAAAATAAAAATTAAGAAAAAAATTCTACAAAAAATTCAAAAAATTATGAAAATTGGGGTTAATGTGATATATTTGTTCAATATCTGTGTCAATGTGCAATATTTATGAAGTTAGAGTATAATGGATGGAATTGATGAAAATTATATTACGAGGGGTATTTTAGACAAAAGACATGTGATGTGTTTATTTGCAAGACTTATTTTTGTGGCCTTATCTGCATTTAATTTCCTTGTAATGAGCTTATTTGTCATTTGCCAAAAAATCTTCCACACACATTTAATCAACCATCAACCGACCCATTTAAGTTTGGTCGATAATGTCAACCAACCCATATATAGTTGGGTCGATAATGATTTCTAATATGCTAAAAAGTTGGTTAGTCGGGTAATATCGGTCAACCAACTTTATTCATTAATTTATTATTTATTAATTTTAATTAAAATATTTAATATTTTTTATTTCAAATTTCTATTTTATATCACATTTATTAAATTGTCTAAACCAAAATCCTAGAAGCAGTAAATCTAACCTAATTATCTAATTTGAACTATTGTAATTTTAAGACATATAGTCTAAATATTTGGACGATTATTATTTGTTGAACTATTTATGTTTAAATTCAATATATATGCCCGTAACGTTTGAATATTGTTGAACTAGTTGTATTTAATTTATAAAAGATATAGCGTTGTAACAAGTAATAAAATATAAAAAAAATTAAAAAATATTTAGATGGATGACTCACCAACCAAACCACCAACCGACCCATTAAATTAGTTTTCAACCATCACCCAACCCATGTAAATTGAGTCGATAACGGTTTCCAATATTTACCAAAGTTGGTTGAATGGGATGGGTTGGTTTTATGGCTGGTTTTTAACCAAACCAACCAATGCACAACCCTAATTTAAACTTATATATGTGGGGATCCAAGTTGCTAGATGAATATGTAGGTCCCTTGCCTCAAAATAATAATATAAATTAAATTAAATTGTTAGTATATAGACATAAACACCCACAATTAATTAGGGAACAAATACCACATATTACTCTCTCATTATAACCAATCTCATGTCTCTATTTATTTCTAATCTCAAATCTCTCTTTTTCCTGATCTCTCTCACGTGCGTTACTCTCTCTTTCGTTTCAAACCTTTTTTTTCTTTTTTTTTCGCATTCTATTTTTTTTTTTTTTTTTTGTTTTTTGTTGAAGAAATAGATAGACAAGAATCCATATGATTTGTATGAGGGAATAGGAATACATAGACAAAGAAAAAAAAGGGAGCTTTACATTATGAGATTATCTCCTGGTCGACAACAAACACCTCCTTGGTTACAAAGTTAGTTATTTGCTTCTCCCTCTCTCTCTAAATTTATTTATAGTGAATTTATATTTTTTGTTGCATTTTTAATTGATTTTTTGCTTCATCAAACACCAAAAATAATTTAAATTGACAAACTAAATTTGAAACATAAAATTGAAATATGCAAATTGCAATCAGTAATAATAGAGTTTTGCAAACTGTAAATTCTATTTTTTGACATTGGAAGATTTTTTGTTGCTGTTGTTGTTGTGTTTTGCATTTGCGTACTGTGTATTCTTTTTTCTTTTTTTCTTTTAATTTTTTTTGGTTTTTGTTTGAATTTAGATGATGTTAATCATATTTTAATTTACTGTTTACTTAGATGATACATATTCATCTTTGCACTTTGTTGTTTGCATTTGGTTGAGTGTAGTATGTTGTTTGTAGTTGAATAATACATATTATATTTTTTTAGTTGGTGTTTGCTGTTTGCATTTGACTTTTACATTTGATGAAGTTTGAGAGTGAGAATTTTTGTATAATATATTTTTTTTTCTTCACGAATTTGACATGTTTTTTTAATTAAAATTGGGAGGAAAGAGAGAGAGTTTTGGGGGAGTTTGATTTGGTATAGAGTTTTGGGGAATTTGATTTGGCAGAGAGATTTGGGTGTTTGATATGAATTGATTAAAGGTATTTTTTCACAATGAATGCAATTAATTTATTAAAAATTGAAACTTTTGACTTTAATCTATTAACATAAAATTTTATATAGAGGGATATATATATATATATATATATATATATATATATATATATATATATATATATATATATATATATATATATATATATATATATATTAGGGGTGGAAATCGGAACGAAATTTCCGATTTCCGCCTATTCCGATCCGAAAAATTCCGATTTTGGAACAAGTTTTTTAATTCCGAATTCCGAAAATCCGATTTCCGAAATTTCCGAAAAAAATCGGATCGGAATCGGAATTTGATATAGAATTGCCGGAATTTCCGAATTCCGATCCGAAATTATTCCGAATTATTCCGAAATTTTCCGGTTTTTTTTCCGATTTTCCGATTTTTTTTAATATATTTAAAAATTATTATATGTATCTTCATGCTAAAACCAAGAAATACTTTGGGCTGGTATGTAGAATTATTTGTTTAAAGAATATAAAAAAATGTGATCCATATTATATTGGCCCATTTATAAATTACTAGCCCACTTTTTTCAACCCTTATACCTTTTTTCATTTCTTCTCTTTTGCAGCGCCGCTTTGCTCAACTACCCTAATACCTTTTTTCAACCCATTTTCATCTTCTTTGCCTCTTCACTCTTCCTCACAATAAATTCTACTTTTTTACAGCACTGGTTCGAAATT